CGACTCCAATGACAACGTCATTCATTGATTCATTGAATTATTCAAATCGCGTAATTGAGATAATCGGATTTACCTGCCATGTCGCACAACCTGCCAGGTCAAATATCATCCTTTCATTGGACACTCAGATGGCTTCTCCTCCATAAATAGAAATATTATGGACTGTACGACGTGTCGGGTTGTGCGACCTGGCAGGTAAATTCCTGATAATGTAATTGAGTATGAAGTTGGTGTTGACATGCTGTTGGAATAACTTTCCGGATTGAAATCCAAGGTAATTAATTGCAGAATTACAGTGTGACACGAAATTATTGATAATAAATTTAACGCAATTCAAACGCGAATATCTCAACCAATTTGGAACCAAAACGCGTCATATAAAAAATAAAACAAAGTATTGATTCGCGGTAAACATCAAATCCACTCTTATCCCTTTTTTAACTTTTTTGCTTCTGTGAATTTTTGATCCAAAATGACTGCAACCGACCTTGAGACACAACGCCAAACTATATTCACATTATTGGAACCAAGGTGTACGCTCTGCAAAAGAAATACATACTCTTACCTGATTCCCATCCCAACTATCTATTACAACCTTCGAAAGTTGGGACCATAAAGCACAAGAAGGGTGCTGGTCGACCATCAATTATCACAACACGCGCATCCAAGACGATTGTTTGGTATGTATGACGCGATCCAACCATTTCCCTAAGAAATTTGGTAACCAACAACGGTGTGGATGTCTCCCGGGAAACGATTCGGAGACATACGCATAATACTGGTTATGAAAAAAATGTCCTGAAGGCCACATATTCGCGGATATCATGCGGAAAAAAAGTCGTATCTTCTTATTTACACTCCAAGTACCGTATTTCACGGACTAATCGGATAGTGGTACAAGTGAAACTCGATAATTTATTCGGCTTATCGAGATTTTCGTTTTATCAAATTTCGCAATAAGCCTAATTTATATATAGTTTACACAAGCTTTTTATAATAACACTACAAATAAACTTTATTAATGATAAAATGCTCGTTTGCTGTAACGCATTCAGTTGTTTAGTCTCAATCGTTCTCTTTAACTTTTTTAGATTAGATAAGAAGGTAGTATCAACTTGAAGCTCACTATCACTAATACACAGAAGCAAAAAATAATACAAAGAGATTGTTTTCAAGGCCAGTCAGCGTCTTTCGGTTTACTTTTTTCTTTACTGTTTTATTTCTTGAATCGTTTAAAATGACATAACATTTGAAGAGCCACTTGTTGAATTTTCTCCACGATCGTTTATTCTGAAATATTAATCAGATAAAAGAGTTAATTGAAACTTTTCCCGTAAAAATATATACAAGCCACGCGCGCGAAATGGAAGATCGTTAGAGAATGGCCTATGAACAATCAAGCGATCGTTTATGACATTACAACGGCATGTGAAAGGAATTTTCTGCGCTAATAGTATGTCTGATTCGATCATGGAATTTAAGAATGAACCAATCAAGATAAATTCATGTAATTAATTCGGTATATCGAGATAAAATTATTTTAGCCAAAAATCTTCGGCTTATCGTTTAACGCGAATTTACTAATTAGTTTCGGCTTGGGCTATAATAAAATTTTGGGGAATCAAAAAAACTTCGGCTTAACGTGACTTCGGCTTATCGAGTTTTACTTGTACTATGGACTATGTAGATATTTTATTGGTTGTAACATATTTTGCATCTTACGAATACGAATAAAATTTGCAACATTTTGCTTGCTTTAATATGAGAAAAATAATTCGAAAGGCACGTATTACATGTAAACAGCGTCGTTCTTGGTGGTTTAGAGAGGAATATATGGTGATATAATAAGCAAGTTTAATAATAAACGCTGTACCATGGTACTTTACAAGTATTTCGTGTAACAACCCGATCATAGTACCATGGTATTTTACATTCCATGACTATGCTGGGGGGGGCACTTTAGTCCGTGAAATACGGTACTTTTCAAAGAAAAATAGCTCTAGAAATTATACTGAAACATAAGCTGGAGACCGTCTTCCAAATCACTTATATTTACATTGTTGTTAAAATCCTTGATCATCTCATTTCATTCGTTGTCCGCTTTACTTCTATATCCTCGCCAGAAAGATCTAATATCCCAAAATAAGCCGGGCTATAAAGAAAACCACCAATAGTTGAGAAGTCGGCATGGAAAATACGTTTACGCTTACAAATCAAGCATAACTTACTAGAGGTATGACGTCTCTCCCACTCGACAAAATCCAACTTGTAATAGAACCAGTCAAGGTCTAAATTAAAAGAAAGGGTAAATATTAGGTAACCACGACAAACAAGTGGCTGTCAATATACGAACTTTGCCTATTGATGTTTCTTCTTCACTGTATTCTTCGTAATTCCGGAATATCTCATGATTGTCGGTATCACTCACTATTCTATATTGCATAAGTTGTCGTCAAAATCCACCTCATCATTTGGGTCATCGATGGCCAGCTTGTCTACGTCCTGTTCCTTTTGCATTCGTTTTGTCGTTCGTTTCCTCGAAATCGCGCATTCTCCTCCTTTTTGCTGTTAATAATGTCATATTTTTTTCTAACATATTAGCCCTTATTTGACAAGCATTTTGTTCCTAAATGGTTTGAAATAAACGGTTAACAAAAATAATTTCAAAAGCTTATGAAATGTAGATAATTACTTCTTTTTCCTGTAATATAATTTGTGCTGTATTAGTAGCAGTTTTCTCTGCCTTGACTTTAAGACTGCTCCAATATTGTTGTACACGAAACGAATTAATGAAGTTGTTGAAATTAGAGCAGTCTTTTAGCTGTATACCGTCCTTAGATTTAATAATTTGCAATGCTTCGAAGAGCGCTTTTCTGCCTCTTCCTTTTGAGGGAATGCAAGTTCGGCCATTTTAAAAAATTTAATAGCATTAGGACATCCGGAAGATAAGATTTCTTCTACTAATTTCACATAATTCTCCTTGCAAGTCGAAGTGATAATAAAATGATGCAATATTAATACCACAAACCACCATTAGCGGATTCAACTGTAAGCTATGATACCGATAATACAAACCATAATGTTGATTCTAAAGAACATAAGGGTATAAAAAAATTACTAAAAGCCAGGGACAAAACTTTGCATTTTTCTCAAATTTTTAAACCCGAAATATTCTTCGGATAACATAAAATCGGCACATATAACGACACGTTGGTATGCACCCGTTTCGAAGACATCAACCAGGGGAAGAACGTATCGCCCCAGGACTTACGAGCTTAGGAACCGCTGGACATAAGAACCAGAACCTTATGCATCTTTCGAATATCGTCATACAACACGTTTCGAAGACATCAACCAGGGGAAGAACGTATCGCCCCAGGACTTACGAGCTTAGGAAACGCCGGGCTTACAAAAACACTAAAAAGATCCATACTTAACTTCTGAAGGTCGTGAAGAATAACGCGAGTCTGTAAATTAGTAGAAGTGACGCGCGTAGAACTCATTTTGTCTGCATAGATCGAAATGTGATTGGCTGGGTCAAGTGACAAATGCACAGATTTTTCACAAGACATTTTCCAATATCGTCATGACTTTTATGGATACAACGCATCACATTCTTAAACCCTGACCCGAACGAAACTTTATTATTAAGAAAAAAACCAGTTAATCGATGATACGTGGCTAGTTTTTCCTATGTTCCGCTTCTTTCTACAAAATCTACCAAGATAGAATTGGGGTTATTAATATCAGGTCATGAAATTATCGCCTAATTTTTCCTATTTAGTATTAGGCCAAAAAATTACGAGTAGAATGGCCAAAATTAACTTGGTTAGATCCCGAAATGAAGATCGAGATATGAAATAATTGTTAATTTAGGCCAAAAAATTACGAGTATAATGGCCAAAATTAACTTGGTTAAATCCCGAAATGTCTAGTACTAGAGGACCAATCAAATTTTTTCGAACAAATTTGACCAATGGCATTGCAGAATCGTCGGAGAAATTTGGGGTGGTTGCATTATTATGGTTTTCGTCCCTCAGTTTTTTGTCGATGCTGTATCACTAGCACTAGGAAAAACACGACGCACTGTTACGGCATAACATATCGATTGAATAATATCCATTCCCTGTTTGCCTATAAATCGTATAGGACTATGTTGAAGCACTTCTAGCAGAAGATACTTTATTATACGAATCAATATACGAGGACTCAAAATTCCGCATAATTTTATGGTAAGCTTAATTCCATTTTTATTGTCGAAAGAGGTTGCATATTAATATCTAACATTTTGGGATTGTCAGTATCGGTACTGTTACTGATATTTATATAATTTCTATGGCTACGAAAAAGAACGAGAGAACTTTAACTAAAAATGATAAAATACATTTAACCACGACAAGATACTTCAATCAAACTATTAACGAACTTATCTTTCACGGATTAAATCGCATAGATTGGTGCGTTGTTTTAGTTATTTTAATAATAGCCATGAAAATAGATATATTAATATCCCCCTAGCCAGTAATAGTATTAGTAATTGAGATGACAATAGACTTTTCCTGATACTCATATGGTTATGTAGGGAAACCCTTATTCGAGGATAATCGTTGAAGTAGCCATGAGCCAAACCTGTATCATACATACCACCCTTGTAAAAGGAAATCTTTTCATTTCAAACTTACAATACGTGGTTGACACAGTGCAATTCTCTCAGCAACCTCTGATTACATTCGCTTGGTAATATATCTTGGGCGTGCCGGCAGAATGGTAAAGGGCCGACGACAATCACAAAGAGCTAATAACTGTTAAAGCCATAATAGTTTACTATCTCGCACATGGGAAAAGTCTTTGTGCGTAGACAGCAATTGTGTATAAAACCACAAGTGAGCTAAATTGGCACCAAAAAGCATTAATATTAATATACTATCTATAACACAATACTAATACATTGTCTATCATACTGCAAATGTTACAAGCAAACCTATTATTTTTCATATTATCTAAACTACATTCACAGTTACTATTGATGAACTAGCCTGATTATAAAGTATTATCTGCTCTACACATTCTTTATGTCTTATATCAAAATACTTGCGCTTACATGCATCCGGTGATCTTGATGGTAGGTAATTTGAAATCATACGCCAATCAGTCCCATGCTTATTTACACATTCACACAGTATACGCTGCTCATCAACAGTCCATTTAGGTGGTTGTGGTTTATATACCTTTTGAAGACTAGCAAACAAGTACCTATGACCGTGAACGTAAGTTCTAATTGCAGCTAATGTTCTATGCGGTAATCTCTCACCTAATTTCGCCCAATGACGTCCAAACTTGTAGAGAACGTCATTGATTATTTCTATTTCTTTGCGACTCCATCGTAAAACGTAAGTTGATTGCTTCTCAGTATGCCGTTGTCCAACAGTAGGAAAGAGATCAGGATGGATATCCACATACGCCTTTATTAAAGTTGGTTGTTTACCTGTTTCATTGGAAATAGCATTCCAATCAGTTCCATATTTTTTGATCAGATTATTTATCGTTTCACTCACTTCCTTTGGCAACAGTCGCATCTTAGCATAATGTCGAATACCAGTCCTCTTCGCCGTACACCTTGAAGCATACTCGCGATACGCTCGATCAGGCAAATATTTGGAGATGACATCCCATCTATAACTTAAATTTTTTGCTATTTGGAAAACAATGTGACTCTCTTTTTCTGACCAACTCTCCCATCTCTTCGACTTCTTGGCTGTCAATGCGTAAAATCTTAATTTACATGATTCAGCTGTTCGTCTAGGTAGCTGAGTAGGGAAAAGTTCCCAACACGGTCCATATTTTTTGTGCAATTGCAACAACAAATTGGTCTCTTTTCGCGTCCAATTGACGTACGGAACTGCCGGATCATCTTCCGAGATACAATCATACTGAATGTCAACCTTTTTTGAACGATTCGAAAGCGTAAATCCCATCGAATCATCAGTATCATTTGTCACCTTATCGTTTGTTAAATTAATTCTCCTTTGCCTAACCAATTGTCCAACTTTCAAATTGAGCACGCTCATTGACTTTCTCGGAAAGTACTTAGCAATTAGGCTCGTACTACGGAACAGATGCATCATTTCACATAACAGCTGCTCTTCTTTTTCAGTCCATTGTGTAGGATGTGAATCCTGTAAGTCTGAATCATTATCCCACATAGAAGGTAATTTATCGAGATGGTAATTCGCATAGTTCGTGATACTTTTAAATGTTCTACCTGAAAATTCTAATGCGACCGCACTCATATTTCTTCCGTGTTTGGCTATGAGACGATTTAGCAATGCAACTTCCTCATTAGTCCATCTCGACCTATTCGGGTAAATGTATGGATCGGTCCAATCACAATCAATCGCCGCAAAACCCTCTCTACGAGCCGCGCACGCACAAGCCGAAGGAGACCTATGCCTCATTTTACTTGATATTAATGTCCAGCGTCTCCCATATCTCATAATCAGTGTTAGCAACAGTTCCTTCTCTTCGGCGCTCCAATAACGTCTACCTGGTTTAGGTTGACGTCTCTTATTAACATGAATCTTTAGAGATTTATTAGCCCACTGCCTATAACATTCTTCAGGTGTTCGATCAACTAACTGTGATGCAATTTTCATCCAGTTTTGCCCAAATTTATCAATGAGAGCGTTCAAAACTTTCTTTTCTAGAGCGGTCCATTCTTTATGCCGTCGAGCAGGGCGGTATTCATCAACTTTGTTAATTTGCCCGACCGAGTTTGAGCCAACGATTTTCACTTGGTCTATTAGTGTTGCATAGTTGCGTACGAAGCAGGTAGAACATTTGTTCACTCGATAGCTGAGCGACATTTGTGAAGAAAACAGAGAAACGGATCCTCTTATAAAAGATCTAACCATCAACGCAAAGACGTCGGCCTCAAGCAAGACGATCGGCTACTAAATATTTAGAAGTTCATTAAACGTTTACAGTCTAAAGACAGGGAAATTTGTGATTGTAGATCACATATTCTTATCGGCTGTAACGGCTGTGTGTCGATGACGTAAGTTTGTTTATTTAAAATCGCTCATATTAACATGAATATGAACAATAGTAATAGTTTATATTTAACCTTTTTATTTTCACTCTACAAATCACGCGTACATTCACCAAACGATTATTTTAATTACTTTCTACTTTCCAGCTTACCACATTCCCTATATCATTTTATATTAATTTAATGGCTTCAACAGAGGACGGCAAATCAGCAACCACACCAAAGAAACTAAGTATCGTTGATAGTATTATGCCATACGCCGATCCTTCCGGTAAGGCGTCCATGTCGATAGAGACCGAAGTTGTGAGTAGCGGTAATACACAGACCAAACCTACGCAGACAGTTTGGTATGAGACATCTCAGATCGGTGTTGTCTCAGGTAGATCACCCTCTGCAACAACTAAAAGGTCATACGAATCGGGCGAATCAGTGACAAGTAAATGCCGTGTAAAGTCGCCCTCTTATAAAATTGCACTGGCGGACCCGAGACTGAAGGAGTTTGTGATAGAAATGCCGTCCGATCGTTGGAATAGAAATAGAAATAATAATAATAATGCAAAGATACGATTTGAACAGAATGTAGCCAGGTATGAATGAGAACTGTATTTATCATCATTTTTTGCAACTGTTTAATTAACTCATTTCTCTTTTGACAATGTAATGTATATTTTTTTTTCATGGAAATTTATTTATCAGATATTATTATCAAGTAATGGTTGGATGTGGACGTAATGATTGCAATAACAAGTTTTGTCGTTCTTGTCCGTGTAAGATTATTTGAACTTCCTTATTTGCGTGATTCATTTCTTCTCATTACTGTTATTATTACTAACAATATCCGTCCCGTCTTAAGTTTGTTCGTATCTCAATCAATGACTCACTCTCTATGTATGTTGTAATATAGCCGCACCCAAGCCAAATGCGGATGCTTCCGCAACACTAGCCGTCTACCTTGCCTCTAGACCATACCAGATGTTTTGTTCCAACTGCCCTGTCAACTCACACGTCTCATCGCCATCAAGGATGTTTTCCTCACTTTCTTCAATGAATCATACTACTGAAGATGGAACACAAGCATCTAAAACAGTGAAGCCATTCTTCAATTCGCTGTTTTCTTCCTCCGAGTTTTCAAGCATGTTTGCGAATATATTGGGAGTACCTAAACAACAAAATGGTGATATTGGAAGGCCCGAGAGTGTTATATCTGGGCAGGATTTAGAAACTGCAGAAATCACCAAAGATGATAAGGACGATGAGGAGGCACAATTGAGTCTTAAAAAGTTGACGCTACCATTATTAGAATATGCAATAGAAACATATACCGAGCAGCCGCCTAATAGCGCTGCTTCAGACACATCCTCATCCTTGCATAATGGTGATCCCAAGTTCCTGCTTAATACTATACGGACTACTTTCTCGTCGCGGGAGACACTTAATGATAGTTTTCTTCAAACATCTTCTGCGCCAAAGTCTTCTCATCCATCTGGAATTGATTTGGTATCACTCCGAAAAGCTTATGACCTTATATTTGAGTTAGAACCAAAAGCATTGTTTCGGTCAACCGTATTTGATGCCTTGGAAATTTTGCTCTCAAAAGTTTTGGTGAATCCGAAAGTTCTCGATCGGGAAGATGCGTCAATAAGATATTTCCTGATTGTACTGGAGGCGTTGTTAGATTCCTCGAATCGCGTTGTACCAATATCAATAGTTGGCAAAATGGTTAAAATCTTGGCGTACGCGTGGGATAGAAAAGGATTAGCATGCAACTTGATTATCAAATGGCTTTCGAGGTGAGTGACTGTTTGTGTGGAAGTAGATATTATATCGCGTGTTTGCTGCTGTTGGGTTACGGAGATTGCTGTTTTAAGTAGCCTAACGGACTATCGGTAGCCTCTCAACAGTTAAACGAATACGAATAATTAATGCGAGGTTAATTAGAAATATTCCTCTCCTATACAAATAGTTATGACATAGACTCCTTCACGAATCTACTACTCGTCTTTCAAAGATTTCTTGGGGATCGATATCATCCGCCACCAGCCTTGTTATCAGAAGAAATAATGTGTGCTGCTAAAACAATCACAATGATGTGTAAGTACAAAATAAATATAACGCTTTATCTAATGTTGGAAGAGAATTATGCGAATGCGACGTTTATATTTTCTATGAATGCATAAAATAGATAAGGCAAACGAACTTGCATCCCCCAAACCTATTGTATCACACGTATTATTCTATAATGATTATTTAAGTGAAAAGATGAAGACGAAGGAAGAGTATAAAGTCTGGAAGAGAATTCACGGAAAGTAAGTACGATTGGCATTTTTGAGATACGTTTACAGAAAATTCTCTTATTATTTATTACAATACAGCGCTGGGTCGCGGCTGGCATCTTCAACAGTGTTTACATTCTTGGACTATCCAATACTACTTGATCCCGTTGTGAAATCACATATAATCAAGATCGATTCTATGTGTCAAATGGCTTTGGGATATGAGGCACGTACAAAGTACTCTCTTCATCTACTTTATTGCGTATAAGCTTAACTTTCGTCCTGTGATGCACATAAAGCACTTCTTTTTTGACTTATCTTGTGACACTGTATGCTTGAATAGTCTACTAACATACATCGTTTTCAGGATGCCTGCGTCCACCATGCTTTCTATATACAAACCCAGCGTCATTTGCCGGAGCCTCCTCGCAACACCGAAACTCTCCAAGCGCGTACTATACCAGTTCTCTTCTTTGAAATTCGCCGTGAATTCCTTGTCCAAGATGCATTAGATCAAATAATCACAAAACAACATGATCTAAAAAAACCTCTGAAAGTAAAGTTCGGAGCAGGCGAGGACGAGGCACAAGATCAGGGTGGCGTCCAGAAGGAATTTTTCCAGATTCTGCTAGAGAGACTAATAGATCTCAAATGGGGATTGTTTATATTTGACGAGCGAACGAGATGCCATTGGATTAACGGCGCGTCTGATGCTAGTGATCGGAAATTTGAACTAGTAGGAGTAGTACTCGGGTTAGTAGTATTTAATGGGATAATTGTGGATATCAATTTGCCAAAGGTGTTTTACAAAAAGTTGTTAGGTTGGGAGGTAACGTTTGATGACTTCAAGGATAGTTTCCCGGTGAGTAGACCCATTTTTAATCGCACATATTAGGGATTGCTTATTTTCGACAGACATTGATAAACCCGTAAACGATTATATAGGAAATTGGCAAAGGCTTAGAACAAATGTTGGCGTGGTCAGAAGGTGATGTCTATGATGTCTACCTGCGTCATTTTGAGATTTCATACGAATACTACGGTACAGAACGAATGTTTGAACTCGTTAAGAATGGTAATGCTATTCCTGTAACGAATGAGAACCGAGAAGAATACGTGCGCTTGTACTACCAACATTATGTACATAAATACGTGGAACGACAATTCAATGCCTTCAAAAAGGGTTTTATGAAAATTTGCGATGGAATGATTTCAAAGGTGATTAATTGGCATTATTGAGGATAAATACATAGTTATAAGTGGCTAAAGAATTCTTAATCGCAGTTACTGAGACCGGAAGAATTAGAATTATTATTATGCGGTAATCGAGACCTCAATCTTGACGACCTAAAAAACCACGTGAAATATGAAGGCGGATTTGATCCATCACATTCAACGATACGGTAAGCGACACTGTGTTGTACATATAAGTAATAAACGTTTTCTAATAACTTTGCCGAATGCCACTAGGAGCTTCTGGGATGTATATTCAGAACTGACAGTATCCCAGAAACGTGATCTACTCGCTTTCGTTACTTCGAGTGACAGAATTCCAATCCGAGGTTTTAGTGACGTATCATTTACTATTCAGCGAAACGGACCCGATTCAGACAAGTACGTTGCCTTAGGGTGAATCCATATCATTCGTAATGAATATGATTCTGTTACTAAATTGATATCTTTTCATGATAGGCTACCAACGGCGCGAACATGCTTTGGAATTCTTCTTCTACCGGACTACAAAACAAAAGACAAGCTTCGCAATAAGCTTCTAGTTGCTCTTGAGAACCGGCGAGGGTTTGGCATTGCCTAATTCGGGAACAACGTTGGTTTAGAGTGATATCGAAGAGTGTGTATTATTGTTTGTAAAATAGATATTGTATATTCGTATGTGAACTAAACCATATTTGACTCTAACAGTTTCGCGTGACATGAAGTGGACGCATTACGTGGAGACAATATGGCAGTTGAGTATGTATGTATAGTATACAGACATGCAGTAAAACTTGCTTATTAATTTAATCTCTTAATAATTGTGGGCTAAGGCAGTTGATCATCACGACTTCCGAAAGACTATCTGCCTATCTCTCACTCTGCAGGTTCCCTTTTTGTTGTGTTGTTCGGTCCAGGCTCTTTAATAGATTGGAGTCTGGCCTAACAGATAGCTAACTTTTCAGGAAAAAAAAAAACTCACCTAATATGACGGGTTGAAACTGCTGGTCATTTCTCAGCAACATAGCCGGTACATTTCAGGAGTCTTAGTCTGAAATTACAATAAGATTCGGATCATCTATTTATATATCATCCACCCTTTAACATGTTTGCTTGCTTACCATACATGTTTACGCATCACACTTTTTGCGCACAATAAGTTAGCGAACAAAATTAAATAAGATCTCAAGAGCCATATTATTTGTCCAGGAGAACTTTCTCTTGGTTGGCAGTGTTCCAATAAACTATCGTATGCTATTATAATTGACTGAACAGAACCAATGTGAAGTTTCTGTGATTATTTTTTGATTGGAATTGCATACACTTCCTGCCAAAAATATAAGTACACAGTGAAATTCACTTTAACGAAGTCTCACTTTAACGAAGATCGCTTTATAACGAAGTTCTTTCCAGAACGGATTCATATATTTCATATAAAAAGACAGTTCACTTAAGCGAACTTTCAGGTTAACGAAGCAAAATCGTGGAACGAATGTCTTCGTTAAAGTGAATTTCACTGTGTACAACACAATATTTACTACTGAAACATAGTAAAACCCTTTCTTTAATTTTGAAAATCTCTATTGTCCATTGATTGTCGAGGCAACTACGCGGGAGAGCGTTCAGTAATTGGCCTTGGGACTTAGCTCTTTAAATCGAGGCTTAAATCGCTAATACAGCCATTGAACGGAATACACTATAAAGCTGAGGATAAACATGCTGTAGATGATCTATGTTCCAACTAAATATACAGTTTGGCATTAGTATTAGCGTCTGCTTTCATCCGATATTTCTAAATGCGGATTGATTATGCACTCTATTCGGTGCAAAATGTCGCAGTTACTATTTCTGGATTTGCTTGGAGGAATACGTCACTATTACGCCATATTAATATGCATTATGATTATGTAGATATTTGTATAACTTTATTATCAAGCCCTAAAGCTGTAAATATAGCCATTTTTAACTCACATAGTCAAATGTTTACTTTGTCTGGCTTTGTTGCAGTATGCCCCATATAATGTTAGAAAAGGATTGTTTTCAAACTCTTTTCAAGGCGTTTAAAAGATAACAAAGATGTTTGGTCATAGAGCTGATTCTCATTCAAGCTCTTGGAAGTCATGCCATTTGTGGAGCTCTGTTGTCATAACCCAATTCAAAAACTAATCATCATTACCATGACTTGAAAGTTGTGCAGAGTTTCAGGACACTGTACATGCGTAGTTTTATCATGGTGGCAACAGAAGACTAAATAGTCTGATAAAAAGAGTAATTATTGCGAGGAACTCTATCAACAAGAACACATGTCGTCACGTGATATTACGTGTAAGTGAAGAAGAAAAAATCGCGCTGGCTTAGTATTAGCTTTTCATTCGAGAAAAAGGGGTTTGAATCGGTCAGGAATGGCCCTTCTCCGCACTCATTAATAGAAATCAAAACAAACGCCCTTGTTGGTATAGCTTTTTTGGAGTTGGAGCAGTCATTAATTTTAGGTTATATCGTTACAACATTTAATACTACTAGCAAATTCGTAAGCAATAATAATAAGAAGACTTTCACATTAAAGCTACATTAGTGACAATAACATCCAGGGGCCATATCCATTACAGCATAAGCTATTATATACAGTGGTGTGCAAAAAAAATGAACTTTTTTTCGAAAGAAGATCGACAGGCGTAACTTGCGCAATTTTGATTAGATTTACACAAATAAATATGCAAATGAAAGCCTGACAATCGCTCTATCATCTTCTAGTGAAATCTTTTCCATACTTTAACAAAAATTATATTTTATTGAATATCAAAATGACCTCATCAAAGCAAGAAACACAACGACAGGCCATATTACATTTCTGGGAGCAAGGAATACGAAATGCTATTGAAATACAAAGTTTGACAAAGATTCCAATTAGTACTGTCCGCCGAAACCTTAAAAAAATCCAAGATACTGGAGATGTAAAGCATAAAGGTGGTAACGGACGTATTAAAAAAATAACAACAAATGCATCCCGGACAGTTGGGCAATACATTCGACGGCAACCTTCAATTTCTGCTCGGTCAATTGCTGATAAATTAAAAAATATAGGAGTAGACGTCTCCCGCTCAACTGTTACAAGGCATTTGGCTAGCCATGGATACCGAAATGCACTTCCCCTTTGTACACCAATGTTAACTCCAGCCCATAAGCAAAAACGAGTTGAATGGGCTC